AAGAATCAGGAAAATACAACATGAATAAGAAAAAGCAATCAACTGAGACCAATGCTTAGATGAAACAGATGTTGGAATGATCTGACAAGAATTTTAAGGCAGATATCATGAATTATCTTGAAACAAAAGAAAAAAATTAGAAAATCTCAACAAATAAATACGAATTACAAAAATTTGTAATTTTAGACAAATTATAAGAATAAAAAAAGAAATAAAAATCTCACTGTATAAACTCAATAGTAGAGAAGAGATGACAAATGACATAACTTGAGAACAGAAAAATAGAATGTATGAAATCTGAACAACAGGGAGAAAATAGACTGAAAATAAAGTGAAAAAGCCTCATGGACCTGTAGGACAGTAATGAAGGATCAGACAATTGTGTCATCAGAGTTTCATGAAAACAAAAGGAAATATGTGTCTGAAAATATTTTCAAAGGGATAAAAATTAAATACTTCAGAAATTTGGCAAAAGCCCTACAGATTCAAGAGAATAAGTGATTACTAAATAGAATAAATTCAAAGAAAAGTACAGAAATACAGATTATAATGAAATTTATGAAAACTAAAGACAAAGAGAATAACTATATCTTGTAAGTAGCTATAAATAAATGAGTTACCTAAAGACAATACCAATAGGAATGATAATGGGTTTATATCTGAAAGCCATGGAGACGTGGAGGAAGTGGTGAATATTTTTCAAATGCTGAAAGAAAAGAATTGTCACAATTGCAAATTCTATATCTGGTGAAACATTTTTTCAGGAATTAAGGGAAAATAAAGACATTCTAAGGCAAAGGAAAACTAAAAGAATTTGTTACTAGTAGGCCTACCCTTAAAGAATGGCTAAAGGGGAATCTTCAAACAGCCAGTAAATTTCAAACAGAAAATTATAAAATGATAGAGGAAGGAATTTTGAAGTATTAGGAAGGAAAAAGAAGAATATTGGAAAAACAAAAATATGGGTATATACAATAAACTGTCCTTATGAGTTTTATAAATCATGTTTAATGATTAAAGGAAAAAAAATCACAAAATTATCTGATACTCAAAGCAATGATATTTGAAAGTGGGGAAAATAATCTAAGTAGAAATAATGCTTTCATACTGTACTCAAAATGGAAAGATGTTGATGCCAGTGGAGAATGTTAAGCTACATCTGCATACTGTAACACCCAGAATGACTTTGAGGAAAACTATACAAAAATACTACAAATAAATCAAGATGTAATCCTAAAAAAAAGTCCAAGTGACCCACAGGAAAGCAAGAAAAGACAAACGGAAGAACAAGAAACAGAAAAAAATAAAATAAAATGACAGGCTTTAGGTCTAACATATCAATAATTACCTTAAATATAAATGGTCTAAAGACACCAATTAAAAGCAGAGATTGTCATAACATTATCCAATTTTCCATGATAATAATTTCTTGACTACAAATGGATGATACTTTTCTTAGGAAGTTAAAAAGGAAGAAATTATCATGAAAAAATTATATTGAAAGTTTTCTTTCCTAATGATGAAGCAGAGAAACTTCTTTCAAATGATCAAAATATTTTGCTACTAATCGGTTTTATAACCAGAAAAACACTGATCTTCTTAATTAATTTTACTAAGCTAGCACTGCTCTGATACAAATTTTGATGCTGATAATGCTATGAGTATTGATTTATTATAAATAAAATGTTAATTTATAAAACATAAGAAGGCATTTAACCCCAAATCACAATAAAAATGGCTTATCGTGAGGATGCAAGATATTTTAATTTTTGGAAGTTATTAATATATGTCATCCAATTAATATCAGAGAGTAAATATATGAAATAGTCAAGAGATGAAGATGAAATAAAATTCAAAATCATTTCTGATTTTTTAAAATATTACACACTATATAAAACAGTTAAAAAATACTCCATATTCTGCTATATGTTTGTCTACTCAGGTGCCTTACATGAGTAAAGAATAAACGATAAACAATGAATAGAACAGGAAAACAAGCAATCAGAAACAGTTCACAAAATTGGAAATAGACAAAACATAAAAAAGGTGATATTTTCCCCTATCAAATAGGAAAAAAAGTAAACAAATTATCATAAAGTCCTCACAAAATAGTAATTTAATGTTATAAACAAAGACATAAAATAATAGGTAATAGAAACATGAATTATTTATGGGTGGTAAGGCTTCTGAGATATAAGAATCCCATGCACTGTTAAAAGTGAATGTAATTGTAATAAAAATTAGTAAAAAAAGTTCACAAATGCTAATATATTACAGGAATCTTAAAATTGTATGCTTTTTTAGCTTGATAATTATACTTATAAAAATATGTCCCAAGGATATAGTGCTGATTTTCTCTAAAGATTTACAGTGGTGTTTACAATTCACATGAGTGAACTTTGAAACTAAATAAAAAAAACTTATAAAAACAAGACTGTTTCAGATGCTGTTAGCTGCTTATCCAAAAATCATTGTCCATTTGCTTTCTTACTAACATAATACTGATTTCATCCTGGGTGGCAAGGTGACCAGCCTCAAAACTTGATTCTTGATTAATCTTAGTCAGTTGTGACAATCCCATTCTTGTTTGACAGGTACTCATATCCTAGCATCCCTTGACAATTTAAAGATACTTATAATACCCAGTTCGGCCCCTAAAATAGAAAGGGAAATCTGCAGGGGAGCTTCTGGGAAAAAGAACTTCTTCTCTAATAAAAATTAAGCTACTTTGTCCCTGCCCCTTCTTCCTGACTATGTTGTGAAGATATAACGCTTTGAGTTATGGCATCCAAGAGGCCACAAGCATGAGGACAAAATAGCAAGATGCCCAAGATGTAGGATTAAAAAAAGCCTAGGTCCTTAACAACATTGTTGATCTGCCCAACCAACCACAAGTCTCTCTGCCTCCATATTTCATTACATAAATAAATGTGTTTATGGTTCAAGTCATTGTTAAGTTTTATGTTACTTTTAACTTAGTACACCCTAATTGAGTCAGAGATTAACTACTTTGCCCATAGCAAAGCTGGGAGTCAAACCCATGTGTATTTGGCTCATGTTTATTTTTACTGAACCATTGTGACTTTGAACAAGTCACATATCCACTTTGAGTCTTAGTTTCATCATATAAAATGGGGCTTACAATATTTTCTTGGTGGAACTGAAAGCCAAATGAGATAATGCACATGAAAGCTCTTTACAAAGTACAGAATGCTATACAAGTACAGGCTGTTTATATATAAAGCTGTTGCAGGAGCACAATATTGTAATTCATTCATTTTCTCTGAGCTTTCTAGTGGTGCCGAAATAAACAGCAACTAGAGTGGTGTTTAGACAAATGTACATTTCATCATGGGCCACTTTTTGAGAGTTTGGTTAACAGCAGTTTGACAGAAAGACCTATTTTTCTCCCTTGGAGAAGCTCAGGTTTGTAAATATGGATTATTTTAAATGTAAAGGCCATGTACATGACAGGAACATTTCTAAGATATTGTTCTTATGGGAGTGCAGAGACTTGATCATGAAAATCAATGTGATTTAAAATAGATATTTTTCCCAAGCCAAGCAGCTTATTCTACTGGGTGCATCCTAACATCCGGCCTGATCTGATCTCTGATGAACTTTTTAGTCTTGGGATCCCTTATTAACTATGTGGGCACCCCACTGTTGTACAGAATATTACGTGTAAAGAGTTAAAATTTTAGTACTTGCTTGTTGATATCCCTGGGCCTCAGCCTCTTCATTTGTGAAATTGGGAGGTAGGAAGGAGGTGGGATAAATAACTGCAGTATTTTCTTTCAGTCAGACGATTGTCACTCTCCTACCTAAAACCCTCCAAAGTGTTCCTGGTGCATTTAGGAAAAAATGAAAATTTCTCATCGTAAACTTCAAGACTCCCCATGGTTTGACCCATACCGCCCTCTGTGAACTCATTATGTACCACTCTGCCCTCACTCACCAATCATCAGCTATGCTTACCTTCTCATTCCTTGAATGTGCTTTGTTCATTCCTACCTTGGAACTCTGCACTAGCATCCTCTCCCCAGAAGGCACCTCCTTAGGGAGTCCTTCCCATGCTACCTGATATAAGTAGCCACCCAGTCACCCTGTATCAGATCACTGGAATTTAATTCTTGTCATACCTCTATGTCTAAATTCTTCATTTGTCTATGTATGTATCTCATTCATTGTTTGCTTCACTAATTAAAAGGTAAGGTTCATGAGGGCAAAGATTTTTGTTTTGCCATAGCCACAGTGCCTACAACCAGGCCTGCCACTTTGTAGGTGTTCAATAAGTGATTGCTAAATTGATGAACAGCTGCATAAAATAAGATGTAAATTTGGGGAAAAATCTGCTGGCTGTCTTCTCCCAGCCTTTGTGGTCCCAGTTGCACCCTAAATTTAACACCACCTCCAGGCTCTGGGACTAATAGGGACCTGAAACAGGAACAATTAAGCAGTTCCAGCTTTGCAAACCAGGGCTGAGTATAAAATCCCTGCCTTGTGGGTTGTTTTGTTCTGACCCTTATTGCTAATTGGGATTCTAGACCTTCCCTAGTTGTGCATTCATGAATGCTCTCTTGCACAGCTTCCTCAGTGGCCCAGTCCCTCTAGGGCAGAGGCTACACTTCAGCCTTCTCAGTTCTTCTCTCTTTCCCATTCCACAGACTTGGTACCTGACTGCTGAACCCCAAATAGGTGGGTCCTATTTTATTTGACAATGTCTCTAATACCAAATAGTTTTCTTAAGTCTCTGCATTCCACATCTCCTCTTGATATACCCTATTATCTCATGGAAACTTCCCCTGACCATGATCCTTCCAGATTGACTTCTTAATGGAGCTGTGAATGCTATTGTCATAATTTTTTGATTCCATGTTTTGTCTGCTAAACTGGATTAGCCACAAATGGGGCTGACTGTCCTAATCCTGGATCCTCTCGGTTTCCAGACAGATTCTTAAGATGTGACAGAAATAAGTACCCTGACTAGGCAGACTTACCTTGGAGAGCTCTTGTCCAGGCCCACACAATTGGCAAGTAACACACCGTCCCCATTCATCCCAGTATTCATTTTCTTGGCAATCCATGATGGGAAGGCTGTGGGTATAGAACATAAAAACTAGGGAGCTAATGGAAAGGGATTGCAAAGTAAGTAGTGGCTTCCATGTCACTTGGTTTATGGATCCTCTTAATCTAGTCTCTGGTTCTGGGTTATAGAGATTGAGGAAGCCAACCCAAAACTGCTGGTTCATATATAGCACTGATCATGTGCCAGGATCACTTAGATGGTTTATGTGTAATAATTCATTTAATCATTAAAACAATTGCGTCAAAAATTATTATTAGCCCAATTTTGCATATAAGAAAAATGAGACCCAGAGTCCAAGGAATTCACCAAAGTTCACACAGTTAGTGGCTGTACCACTTGCTTAACTGGAAAGAAAATGATAATACAAGGAACTGGCTTCTGTCTAGGGGGTAGAGAATAACCACAGTCTCTCACATGTGACCAGCTATTAACAGTTTAGAAAGCACTTTCACACCCATTATATTTGATCCACACAACATCCATGTGAGGTAAGTAATATAGAGATTATCATCATTCTTTTGTGGATGAGAAAGCTAAAGCATGGTTCTCCTTTGCCAAAACTTTCTTAAGTACCTTTGAGGACAACTAGCTACAATTGCTTCTTTCCTTGGAAGAGTGGGAGGAGAGGAGGGTGACCTAGCATGAAGAAATGTCCTGATGCACTAAGGTGTAGAGAAGGGGAAACACTACTCATATAATAGTCCTCGTAATACAGATGGCATAGGGCAGTGGTACTAGCATTTGGTCTGAGAGTTGGGAGATATGGGTTCTATCCTGGCTATAGGCAAACCAAGCATCCAGGACTTGCTTAGGACTGAGAAGCCTCCTCAGGATATAGGATTTTCAGTGTTAAAACTGGGACAGCCTCAGGCAAACTGGGATGGTTGGTCAACTTATTTGGCTCTTCTTCCTTCTAACCTATGAGCTTGGAAGAGTCACTTTATCTTTTCTGGCCTCAGTTACTTAATCTGAAAAATGGGGACAGTATATTCCTCATCCATATTATACAGCTCTTGGGAGGGTTAAATGAGCTAAGGTCTACTAATTCATTTTGAAGGATTAGAAAAGTTATACAAAATATGACAGAGTTAAGGATGCAAATAGATAGCTTTCTACAAAAATGAATTTTAATGTAAGTAACTGATATATATGGGGCTTGCACTACTCAAAAAGAAGGCAGAGTAAGATTATTTTTCTCACTCCTTAACCTCACACCGAGGTGAACTTCAGGTGGCTTCTCAAAGTATAGAAAGTCCTAAGTGTCTGCTTCCAGTCAGAAGAGAGAAGAATGTGTATATGTACCTCAAGAGATCATCACTCCTCCCCTCAAAAGTCCCCAGTAGCAATAGGGTAAGTCATCCTGGGTGACATCCTTGCTTGAATGCACCTTTCCCCACCATCAACTGGGCCATTCTTTCCCATTTGTTCATGCAAATGAAAGTAGGCTACAAAATCAATTTTTGCACAAGCTGAAGATGCCCCCGATGCTGTTTTGATTACTGGCCCGTAATGTCAGCCTCAGTAGGCATGTTCCCCTCCCTACCCACCCTTCTCATTAAGGACAAAAACTAGCAGTGTTCTCATAGCCCTGATGACAAGGGAATTAAATGTCATGGGCACAGGGCCAGCATACTGGTCTGGACAACTCCCCTGTATCCTTTCCTAGCCCATAAAAACAGAAAAGTATTGGCAGGAGCCAAAGAGCAGCCTTGCCCTTGAGATAAGATCCTGATATAGGCATCTGAAATCTCCATGGTTCACCTTTGGGTGTATGAGACACCCTATTCTGTTTGGTATCCAGAGCCCCTTCCATCTAATAAATGTCATGTGACATGAATCTTAACATGTCCTTCTAACCTTGCTTTGAAACCCATGTCTATGCGAGGTAGGCTTATTGCCAAATCCCCATATAAGGCCTCAGGGGATGAACAAAGGACTTTTTTTTTTCTCTCTCTTTTGTCAAACTGTTTATCTAAAACACACAAATTAAATTGTCTTTTATTATAAGTTTAACAAGTTGCATTTTTTAAAGAGAAGAAAACCACATAGAATTTGGTCTGTTCTGCAGAAATCAGGTTATATGGGTAAAATTGTCTAATAATGGTTAAATGTAATTATCCAGGGACAAACTCAGACCTTATGCCAAATTCTTCCCTCTGTTCAGCAGTGTCCGGTGGCACATGTAACTGGCTTTTTATTTTAAGAGAAGGTGAGAGAATAATTAGGTTTTGAGAAAATCAGAGCTCTCTGAGATGTCCCATAACTGCAGCTAGATACATTTTTAAGGTATCACAGAAGATGTGTCTGAATCCTCCAAACTGCTGCAATATAGACAGGCTTATAAAATTTTGACCTATGTATATACTCAAACAAACACTATCCAGATAATGATACAGAACTTTTGCATTGCCTCATCAGGCTCTTTCATGTCCTTTCCCAGTCAATGCCACTCCCTTCTCCCAAGTAATTTCTATTTTGGCCTCTGTCACTATTATTAGTTTTACTGGTCCTTGAACTTCATAAAAATTGGGTTCACATAAGACCAGTATCCTGTTTCTGATTTTCTTTGCTCAATGTAATGTCTGTGAGATTTATCCATTATGTTGTGTGTACCAACTTTCATTCCTTACCATTGCTATGTAGTATACCATTGTATGGACATGCTACTGTTTATTTATAAATTTTTTTGGTTAATGGACATTGGGCTGTTTCTAATTTGTGGCCATTATAATAAAGTTGTTATGCTATGATCAACTGATTTTCCAAAAGAGTGCCAAGAAAATTAAATGGGAAAGGAACGGGCTTTTCAAAAAAAGGTGTTGTGACAACTAGGTATCCACATGAAAAAGAATCAAATCATTCCCTTACCTCACACCGTATATGAAATTAACTCAAAATGGACTAAAGCCCTAAATGAATGATATAAAACTCTTAAAAGAGTGTTTTTTAATAAGAAAACAAAATTATATGATTAAAAATCTTTCTTACAAGAAAAATGTAGGTGTAAATCTTCAGGAACTTGGATTAGACAATGGTTTCTTAGATATAACACCAGAAAGAAGGCAACAAAATGGAAAAAAAATAGATAAATTGTACTTAATCAAAATTTAAACTCTTGTGCTTCAAGGATGCTATCAAGAAAATAAAAAGATAACCTACATAATGGGAGAAAAAAACTGTAAATACTGAGATCTGATAAGATATATATAGAACATAAAGAGAAATCTTACAACTCAACAATAAAAAGAAAAATAATTTACTTAAAATGGGCAAAGAATTTGAATATGCATTGCTCCAAGAAAATATAAAAATGGCCAAGGACATGAAAAGATACTCAACATCATTATCAATTAGAGGAATGCAAATCAAATCACCATGAAATCCCACTTCACACTTACTAGGGTGGGTGTAATTTAAAAAAGGGGACAATTAAGTGTTGACAAGGATGTGGCTAAATTGGGACCCTTATATATTTCGGGTGAGAAAGGAAAGTGGTACAGTCTGAAAATGCCTTTGAAGTACCTCAAAATGTTAAACATAAAGTTACTATGTGACCTAGCAATTCCAATCTTAGGTAATATACCCTCCAAAATTGAAAATGTACATCCACACAAAAATTTGTACATAAATGTTCCTAATAGCATTATTCATAAAATCCAAAAAAGTAGAAACAACTAAAATGTACATAAACTGATAAATAGATAAACAAAATGTGGTGTATCCACACAATTAAATGTTATTCTGACAGAAAAAGAAATGAAGTACTTGATACATACTACAGCATGGATGTACCTTGAAAACATCATGCTAAGTGAAAGAAGTTACACAAAAGGAAAAATATTACATGATTCCATTTATATGAAATGTCCAGGATGGGCAATTCATAGAGATAGAAAGTAGGCCAGTAGTTGTCAGGGGCTGGGGTAAGGAGAGAATGGGAAATAACTACCCACTGGGTGTGAGTTTCACTTTGGGGTGATGAAATGGTCTGGAACTAGATAGTAATGATGGTTGTACAATTTGGTGAATATGCTAAAAAACAGCAAATTGTACACTTTAAAAAAGGCGAATTTTGTGGTATGCAAATTATGTTTCAATTTTTTAAAAAGCTGGTTCTTCAATTTTTTATTTAACACTGTGATACCCTGTGTCATTCTAATAGATATTGCCTAAGCTATTCTCCAAATTAAAATTTTAAAAGGGTACTATGAATATTCTTATATATGCCTCCAAATGTGAATTTTTCACCCAAATTTATCTAGTAAGTGCTGATTGGGTTTAACCAGGGGAGCTGACAAATGGCATGATGATTAGAATGTCTCCTTATTTTGTCTGTCTCTGTCATGTTGCTGCTCACCCTGTCCATCCCCCTGTCCTGATTATCTCCCTGAAAAATAACCTAGAAGAATAAAAATGCAAGTTGACAGCGAAAAGGAGAAGCAATGAGTCTGACATTAATTATAATCCCCACATTAGCTCATTTTTCCCTGAAAAATTGATGTTGGCCAAGTTTCTGCTGAATGTTAGGTACTCAAACTGCTGCCAGTGCAGCTGCCTCTGGCTGTAGCTTGCGATTGCTGCTCTTCTCAACTTGCACATGCCTGTGGGGTGAAACATGCTCTCTCAATCTAGGATGGGTAGGCAGAACAGGATGATAGGTCTAAATTAAGAACTCAGGACTTCATGGAAGATATTTGTTTTGCCTGGGCAGTGCAGGAGGTGTGGGATTAAAGAGGATGAGGAAGACAGCAGCTGGTCCATGCCCTACCCAGTCCTCTCCTTATGAGCCTACCCTGTCATCCACATACAGAGGACTGGCAAAAATCAAAGCAGTTGCTCAGCCTGGCCTTGAGAACACTACTTTCTTTGAAAATCAAGCTTCTAATCTATGCAATGTCCTCATCATTTCCAGATCTTTGGCCTATAATCCAGATTTGCTTTATCAATTTGGTGCTGTCTCTCAGCCTTCTCTTTCCTGGCCTGGCCCAGAGCCACTCCTATCCCAGCT